GGTTGGGGTGACCACGGCATGAGGAACTGCATTAAAGGGGCGCAGCATTGGGAAAGCTGAGAACCGCTGGTTTACTGAGTACCATATGCTGAGAGCTATTTTAAGTACTGCTATACCCTATACCCACCCACCCGCGGTTGGCTTGACTTCATACTGGGGTAGTGACCAGGACCGAAAGAACGCACCAGCGCACCCCCTACGGACCGCAGTTAGACCTCGCCCCCTCGGTGGGCTTCTCCAGGAGTGCGGGGGGGGGGGGGGCTAACTGCTGTCCTCCTATCGTCTCTGACCCCTCCCCTCCTGCCCAGATGGTGGCTGAGCAAACACTGAAGTCCCGGGAACTCTGTGACCGCTCCAGGTGCCCTGACACCTCACAGGGAGGGTTCGTGGCTTCTTATCAGCCTTTCTGTAGCCACTTGGGGTCCGTTTATGGGAACAGACTCCTTCAGTCTGAACCACAAGACAGGCTTTCCCACACCTGTGCATTGTCCCCTGGACTTCGGTCTCTGAACATCCAGCCGGCCAGGGCTGTCATTCCCCAGCGGTTCCTTCTGGAAATCTGTCCTGAAGGGAGAGGGGTTGAGCTCACAGATCTTTGTGTCCAGATGCCTGGTGGCTCCTCTGGTGACAGACTCTTCCTGGGAAGAGAGTTGCTTCCTGAGTCCCTGCAGTGGAAGAGCCACCTTCCCAGCGGAGAGATTGGTGGTTCAAGAGCGCCACCATGTGGAAGGCAGGAGCACAGCGCTAAACTACGCGGTCCCCAAGGGTGATGGGAGCAGGTGCCTTCATGTGAACCCCAGGAAACAGGTAGGGGAACCTGGACCTTCAGAGTAACCAAGTGGAGCAGGTTGGGGAGGAAGGGGACTTGTCATCCCGCCTCCCTCTCTCCTCTTTGTTTCCTCCCGGCCCCAGAGAAGCCTCTGTCTCCTGGCTCTCCCTAACCCCTTCACAGGCACGCAAGGCTGGCAACTCACAGCCAACAAGATGCTGGAACGATTCCTCCCTTTAAGAGAAGTGGGTGGAATTGGGTCGATCATCAGCCACATGACACCAAATCCGCGCTGCCTGCAGCAGCTCTGCTCCCAGTAGCTGGCGGGGTGCTCTCACCTCTGCGAGCTTCCCTGAAGCCTGGCAGGCTCCCGCACAACCCAGCTCTCACAGCCACGTCTAGGTGGGCCACCCTCGGAAGGGGCTACCCACCAGCGCAGTGCCCTCTGGACTGGGGTGCTCTGAGGAAAACTCAGAACAGGCCCGGAGTTCTGGCTTTGCCACTTTAAGGCACGACGGCTCCCGAAACTAAAAACGAAGGCAGTATTTTATACACGTTGCTTGTTGTGTGTCGACCCTCCTGGAAAATGCAGGTCTTGATTTTATCTCCAGCAATCCCAGCATACCAGGCACCAGGTACAAAAACCACCTCTCACTAAAACAGTTAGGAAATTAAATGAAGCGTGTGTTTCCCATGTGTGTGGTGAGTAACTAACTACCATTCGATAACACAGCAGCTTCACCATGCAGCCCCTCCTGTCCATCAAATAAACATCGCCAGGGACAACCACAGGGTGTCTGCCACCACCGCTGCCTCTCTTCAGAGCTAAGCAAACTTTCAACCGCTGAGCAACAACCCAGGACAACGCAAGTCCAAAAACCACAGGTCTGGACCCTAAAGTGGATCAGGTACAAAACCATTATGTCATGTGCCAAAATAATCATAAGAGAAAAGCGCAATGAGCACAGAGAGTCGCCATTACAGAAGGCCGGGGCCGTGGACAATCTAGAAGAGTTAGGAAATCTAACAGTCCTGTAGTCTAATAGCCTACACTGAGTCCCAGGGATGAGGATGAATTTTAATGTGCACATAAAATATGACTGGAATAGAGATTTAATGTGCTTGTCTACTCAGAGATAGGAAGGCTGATGCTATCTCTGCTCTTGGTAAACTGTGCCAGGGACACTGTGAGCCCTTGAGATTCGAGGAGTCAGCCAAGTAGGACGCTTGGTTAGCGTTGTCAGCCTGACGGAATCTAGACTCACCCGCAAGATGGGCCCCTGGGCATGCCTATCTCGTGCAGGCTTATCTTGATTCCATCAACTGAGATGAGAAGACACGTCCCTGTGAGAGGCACTGGGGCCTACGCAGGGGATCCTGGGTTTATACGTGCGGAGAAAGCAGTGGGGTTATCATGCGAGCATCCGTTGCTTCCTTCTGACCATAGATGTAACCAGCTGTTTCAGGTTCTCCTACCCCCAGCCTCCCGAGTGCTGAGATTATAGTGCATTCCATCCCACCTGGCATTCAGGTGTGTGGGGTTTCATTTTGTTGTCGTTCAGGGGCTTTGGTTGTTTTGTTGGGACAGGCTGTGACGACACAGCCCAGGCTGTCATTAACTCCCACGCTGGCACTCAGACATGGCACACTGTGTTTACTTGCACCTGGTACTTTGAAATAAAATTACTTTTCTTTCATCTTTCCCATGGAGATTTATTCTCCAGATATGACTAGCAAACAGATATCAATTACCCTCAGGTGAGGCGTCCACACACACTACTGCTGCTCCAGCTGCTCCAGCTGCTCCAGCAGACAAGCCCCTCCACCCCTGTGTAATCGGATGCTTAGCAGGTTGTGTTTCAGCCCCTGGAGAGACAGATGAAACCTTAGGTGACACCTGCCAACGGAGCATTGTGAGTGTGCACATCTCAAGGGATCTTTTGGAGTACCCCTGGCAGTAGGACAGAAATCTGGGCACCCTCAGTGAATAGATGAAGGGACTTTGAGCCATGCCCCCTTGACTGGAGTCTTGTTGCAGATATGTACTAGCAGTTCAGGCTTAGACAAGGGTGCCACTTCTCTTACCAATGATACTGCAAAATTACCCTGTAGGTGACAAGGTTTTCATAAATGCTAATTATGCCAAAAAAGAAAATTTTAAGATACAATGAAGGGTACATTCTTATTCACAAACCTTGAACCCTAGCATTCCTGATGAGGGACCACTGAGATCACGGCCAGCGTCTCCACCGTTACTCAGACCACTGAGATCATGGCCAACATAACATCCCCACCGTTACTCAGACCACTGAGATCACGGCCAACATAACATCCCCACCGTTACTCAGACCTCTGAGATCACAGCCAGCGTCTCCACCGTTACTCAGATCACTCAAGCGTGCACCTGGCAGATCCTTCAACTGCCATTTGTTCCTATGATTTGAGAACTCACAACATGGGGAAGTGAACAGGAACAGGCTGGGTGATTGCGAGAGCCTGGCAGAGCACAGAAAGTGCAGGTGGACTCTGAGTGCCCTGTCATGGCCGAGTCTCCCTAAAGGCCGTGGAATCTGAAACCGCTGTTTTTCCATCAGTAGGTGGTTCTTCACTGCCTCTCCACCACACCTCAAGCTGCCAGACTAACAAACCACCTCACCCTTTCCCTACAAAGACCTGGTCTACAGAGCAAGTTCAAGGACAGCCAAGCTTAGGCAGTAAGGGTAACCATCAAAATCAGAAGGCTGGTGAAGATATAACTGAACAAAGAGACCTGCCTTCCAGGTTCACACGTTTAGTCCACTGTCATCACGGCAGGAAGCATGCCGGTAGGTACACAGGCACACATGGTGCTTGCTGGAGAAGTGGCTGAGAGTTCTACATCTGGATCTGCAGGTAACAGGAAGAGAGAGACACTGGGCCTGGCTTGCACATTTGAAACCCCATAGCTCAAGCCTAATGACACATTTCCTCTGACAAGGATACACCTACCTCAACAAGGCCACACCTACCTCAACAAGGCCACACCTTCTAACAGTGCCACTCCCAGGGACCAAGCATTCAAATCTATGAGTCTATGGGATCATTCCTATCTAAACCACCACACTATAAAATAACATTTTAAAAATAAGATAAAAGAATAAAACCAAAATTGAAGGGCTGGAACTAATATTGAGGAAATCTAGAATGTGAAACAGATAGTTTAAGGACTTGTTAAATTAACAGTACTTTCAACATGAACAGGAGATACCATGGGAAAGTTTAGGGAAAGTTTCCAAGTCTGAGAAAACAGAAATTTCAGAATTGAAATGATTAATCACTAAATGCAAAGAGTAGATAAAGACTCACAGTGGAGAAAAATATTTTCATCTTCAGTGTAGCACACAACGCCCAACTGTGCTCTATGTGTACCATACAGTTCGTGAGCCTCGGGCAAGGGGCTGGAGATTCAAACACACACAGAGACACCACAGACGGAGACACAGACCTCTAGTCACTGGTAAAGAAGTCTCTTATTGAATAGCACCACAGAGGCTTATATACCCAACACAGTCAGGTGGGCCAACAGGTGAAAACCTTATCCTCTGATCCTCAAGGCCAAGGCAACACGTGCTCGTGAAGCAGAGCTGGTAAACAACTTTGACACAGATTTCAGTAACTCAAATCAGAAGGAAGTAAAGATCTCTAGCAGGGAAGAGCAGCTGGAGGCCAGGACTCCAAATGGTCCCAACACTTCAAGACATTGGTTATCATATCAAAATGAAGTATAAGCCATGACCTGGAATTCATGGAGAAATGCTTTTAACATAGATTGGTTGCAGGCATTAAGGGAGAGAAAGGGGCTCTCAGCAAAAGGACAGTGCACACTCGGGCTCCATAAGAGAGAACACTTTACCTTTTAGGCCATCAGCTCAGTGAAGTCATGAGTATCAGCAGTTCTGTTGATCCCTGAATCCAGCAGCTGACAGAGACCCACCCAGTTGTGAACAGTTTCTTGTCTGCCTCGTCCCTCAGGAAGAGAGCTAATGGCTGGAGGCAAACCCGAACTCCAACCTTCAGAAAGTCAGGCTATTTCTTGTGTGGTGGGATCTGGGGAGGGAAGAAATGCCTTCCAGAGTTCTTCTGTGTGACGTGCACTGACCTGCACACACAGGAGAGACAGTGCACTTGGTTGGGACTGAGGTAGTCTGCACGAATAAAAAATGGTCTTACCCCCCAAAAAACACACACAAGATGATATAATGATAGAGTTTATTTCAACAAACTTTACAAAACAGATAATTTTTTTGGTGGAAAAAAGCCCTGAGTCTCTATAAGCAGGGTCGGTTTGATTGACCATAATGTATTTTAACAAAATATATGTAGGACACCATGTCTCATAAAGCTTCTTACACACATGGCAGATGCTGAGATTTTGTTAAGTGATCAGACACTTAGAAAAGTCAAAACAAAGTTGTAAAATAGTTAAATACATGTTTAAAATATTGTGAACTTACTTTTCTTTACCAAAAATGCCATCCTCTGGTCTTCCTGGTTTGCATGTTTTCTTTCACATAGTTAAGTCACAAACTTGGAGAGCGACTTCTCCTACTAGGCCTTCAGGAATATCAGATTCTCCTGCAGACCCAGGGCAGTTTACAAAGGAACAGATCACTTAAGGAAGGGACGAGAATTACAATCTCACTTCTGAGTTCTGCACCCCACGTTCTGCCTGAGCTGGCTTCCAACTCTCAATTAGTTCAAAACATGACACTTGACCTTAGAGCTAATTTGCCTTTAGTGCAGCCCACCAAAAGTTTCTTTATCACTGGCATGACACTAAGCTCTTAGCTTAGTTGTGAAAAGTAAATCTGGAGAGTCTATGAGAATGACATAAATATATTTAAATATAAAATACATAATCTGAATATTAAATTATTTTTGAACATGCACATCTTCTTTATCACAAAAAAATAAAGTTGTATCTGGGCATGGCGGCACACAGCCTATAATGCCTATCTGGGAGGCTGGAGCAGGAGGCTCAAGAGTGCACTCCAGGCCAGACTGCGTGATGAACTCCAACTAAAAGAAGGAAAACATAATAATAAAGTGGTGACAGAAGTGGAATCTGGATATTTTAAAATGAAACACTGTAACATCTTCAGATAGCAGCGTGGCTGGGAGTGGATTACATCACAAAGTAAGTGTTTATTACTGAAATTCAGTCCTGCAGAAAGCACTGGAATAAACTGGTCCAATGCTGCTCCACACCATGCGCCTACGTGCTGAAGCGTGCAGTGGAACTACTGTTATGACAAAGTTGTTTATGATTCTATGATAAACTGAATTTCTTTTAAACACATGTGCTGGAAAAAAAGAGAAGAGCCATAAACGTAAGCTTTCTTTACCCGTGATACACTGAAAAACATCCTGTAACTTCGTGATTCTTCCGTATCTAAGGACCAAAATAGACGTAATAAATAAATATGGAACTTGGGGGACTGATGGGTGCAGAATACTGCATGGAGCAACATTACCGTGTATTAAGATTCAGTTTTGATGTTAAGACTTCTAAACACAGCGTTGCTTATTGCTGCTGTGAACAGGCATCGCATGAAGGCACTGGCATACTGGCATGACTCGCGCGGAAGATCTGGACTTAAACTTAGGGGCCATACACGGTTGAACTGTCGTCTTTCAATCTGAGATGATTACAGTTTTAGATGGTTTTGTATGGCAGTAGGTAAGTATCTTGAGACACGCTACCCGAACACTCCAAGCTCTTTGATACTCTGATACTCTAAAGTACCGTAAACAGTATTGCTATGGTGTGCAATAATGTATGCAATGTTTTAACAAAGGAACAGGCAAAACAAATCACAATGGATGAAATTTAAAGGATGTGACAGCCCCAGAATCTCACAGTAAAAGGATAGTGGCTGGAATCGTGGCTATGTTTTTCAGCTTCTCTGACCCTCACCCCTCTCTCCATGTTATATTAACAGGTGTTGGCAGGCTTAGAAGGGCATCGGGTGACCACATGACCAGTGGGAAGCACACAGCAAGAAAACCAATCTGACTGAAACCCAAACACTTCATTTCTGATAGTCCCTCTAACAGTGGAACTATGCCACCTCTCTTGCATTCATTTAGAGTTCCTAGTTTGATCAATCAGTAGTTATAGAACACATGGAACAAAACTTACATAGAGAGAAATCTCTGAATTTCAGTTTCCAGAACTTTGTTTGTACTCCATGTGTGTGCACTCTGTGTGTGCACTGTGTGTGTGCATGTGTATGCACTCTCTGTGTGTACACGTGTGTGCACTGTGTGTGTGCATGTGTGTGCACATACAAGTGTGAGGTTGTGTGAGCGTGTGCTGCTATGGTTTCTATGGAGTTGCCAGGGATCTGGACTCAGGCCCTCATGTTTGGGCAGCAGGCACTTCACTGAGTAGGAACTGGGGTTTGATGGGGCTCAGGCTTCCTCTTGGTGCTTCCTGAAAATGAAGAGGGCACACTGCCCAGACGGCCTGGCTCCTGGCCTTTCCATCTCCCTTATCATCTAGCTCTGCAGCATACACAGTCCCACTAAAGACCATCCCTTCATAACATTGTAGAGAGATTTAAAGTATAAAGACAAACAGATGAAGTCTACCACAAAACATCGCAAGATCTACCAGCGCTGAGAATATGACTTGGGGAAGTGCCTATCTATCCTGTTCTAAACGTTCCAGGGCTGCACCTGGCAACAGTTGGCTTTTTAATTCCTGAAGGAGAATCACTTTTCTTCTAAGGCCCACAACCATGGCAACGTGTGGACTCTGTTGCACAAGCCTTCTGCCCTAAGCAGTTATGAGCGACATTCTTTACCGCAGGTTGAGACAAGCAAAGGGGCTGATGAGAATCATGACCTCTCAAGGTTTCATAATCTTCCTGCAATCATTAGACCCTGATGGACTCTAGACCTCCATCTAACCTAGAATCGCAGTCACTTTGGAGAGGAGTGTTACTGCATCTCAGTGTTACTGCAACCAGTCGTGCCGTTGGTGTTGACTGGTCGTCGAGGTAGTGGAGAGAAACTTATCTTTGTGCATCTGTTCTTCTGTGACCTCCATGAACTTGGGGCTTACTATCATACAAGTTTACAGATCATTGCCCTGAAGGTTAGTGACTGACTGACCTGCCAAGGTTACATAAAGGAGTAAGGGCAGGATGTCAAACTCATATATGACTCCTCAATCCAGGCTCTTAGTGCCATCTTATGTGTTAACGAATAAAGAAAAAGCCACGCCCTCTCACTGTATAAATAAGCTGAAGTGCATTTCGATAAATCAACGGTTTATAATTTAGTTCTTGATTTCCTTCTATTCAAACTCTCATTTCCTTAAAGGAAATACTCAACGTTTCAAGAGGACAGAAAAATAAATTGCTATTTTACCAACAAGGTTTTGTTTGTTAGTTTGCTCTTGATGCTGTTGTTTGGGTTTTGAGACAGATCTCTATACATAGCTCCGACAGTCCCCACACTCCACCTGCCTTGGCCTCCTTGAGTGCTGGGACTAAAGGCATGTGCCACCATATCTGGCTTCTGTGGTGTTTTTAACTGGGGAGAGATTTAAAAGTCTGCATCCAGGGTGAAGACATTGTCCGTGGTCTCTGCCATGACTGCGAACCGCTGGTACTCAGAAACTCGCTTCTCAAAGAAATTCGTTTTCCCTTCCAACGAGATGTTTTCCATAAAATCAAAGGGATTTTCTGCCTGGAAAACCTGGAAAGAGGAGAAACGTCGTAGAGATTAGAAGAATCCAATCACACTGCACAACAGGGCAAAGACGGGAGAAGCCAGGACAGGTCCCCACTACCCAGGCACCTGCAGGGCCACGCTGCCCCTCTAAGGCGCTGAGGGCTTGCGACAGCTGTCACCAACTTCAAGTTTCAAAGGATCCTGAAAAACCATTTTTTTTCTTACAAAACAAGGCTATGTCCTACACATTTTATTTTCTTGTCCGTCAGAAATGGGCCACGAGGCCCAGTTTGTCCACAAACTCGAATCCTTCTGCCTTAGAATGCCAGAATTATGGGTGGACATCGCACATCCAGCTTGTCACGTGTTTAAAGGAGACTAGCGTGTTACGTGTGCTTTCAGGAGAGCAAAGGTGGGAGCCTCACTGGCCTGCAACCCTGCTGGTGGTGTGTGGTCTTCACGAGGATGGAGCCCAGGGGCTCCTATATTCCAGCGTTGGTTCCAGGCTGGCGGGCTACCAAGGAAGGAAAAGAAGGTGTGGCCCTGCGGGAGGAGGTGTGTCACTGAGGGAGTGTGTGTGTGTGTGTGTGTGTGTGTGTGTGTGTGTGTGTGTGTGTTTGAGGTTTCAAAACCCCGGGCCAGGCCCAGCTGCTCTCTTTCTGCCTCCTGTCTGTGGGCAGGACCCCATTATGTGCTTTCTTTCTTAAGCTGCCTTGGTCATGGTGTCTCTTCACAGTGACAGAACAGTAAGCAAGACAGGTCGTTAACGTGATTTAAAACACTTTAGTTACCTTAGAGAAGCCAAGTTCCACAAGTAATCTGTCAGCTACAAACTCAATATACTGTTTCATCAAAACACAGTTCATTCCGATGAGGCCGACAGGCAAGGCTTCTGTCAAAAACTCCTGGGACACAAACAAAACCAGGATCAGATCCAAACACATAACAGTAAGTATACATTCCCAAACATGGAGTATGGTGATTTGAATTTGAAATGTCCTCTACAGGCTCATGTATTTGAACACATGGTTCCTTCCCAGTACCACTGTTTAGAAAGGTCATGGGTCACCAGGCGTGAACTCTGAGGGCCTTCTTCCCATCCCAACTCTACTTTCTGGTCTGCCAGCACTGGAAGGAGGGGGCTCTGTGCTCCTGCTGGAACCGTCCTTGCTGGGAGAGACTGCACCTTCTGAACCACGAACAGGTTCAACCCCAGAGGAGTCGACGAGGCAGAGGAGTTTAGCTTTATCCGCATTCTAGACACTGCTTTGCTGGAGTTAGGTATGCCAGGATAAATTAACACGACGGACGATGGCCATCTGTTTACAAATGTTTGGGATATTACTAATTACATGATTTCAACTTCTCAGGGGGCCAAAGTTAAATAGAAAATGGCGAATTACTGGCTCTTTTAAAGCAGTGTTATAGAACCTGACTCTAAATTTCCTCAACAGGGAAACGGTGAGCTCTGTCCTGAAGTTCCAGACAAAGCTTCAGAGACACCACCGTGGGAAGCAGGGCCACAAAAGCGAGGCAGGTAAAGGACAGTAATTACAGAGTGGAATTAGACAGACACGGTGTGGAGGTCGGGAGATATACTGAGATCCAACTGCATTTGAAGACAGTGGAGGGAAAGGAAAAGCATATTAACCAGGAAACTCATCCTCAAAATGTACAAAGATGCCAAAACACAAACACATTTCTCCCAACAGCATGAAAACCCTGCCCATAACCCACGCGCTGTTCAAAAGTAAGTCGAGCAAATCCCATTTTTGAGTTAGTTCTTTGGAGTGCAATGTTAAGTAGTCTATCAAGGGGCTTCCAGGCACCACGTTCACACGCCATAAATTAAGTTTTACTCTAATTCACTTCCTGATTCACTGTGTGAATGTTTGGCTTGTGTTTCAGCTGGGCAGCCTGCTACATATTAAAACAAAAATTACCATCCCTCTCTAGTAGTTAAAGATATAAAACTAAAAAGCTATAATAATTAAAATGTTTGCTATGTGATCATATTTAAAAGAAATTAAATATAATTTTAATTATATATCTATATAATTTTGTATGATTATATAAATATATAATTTAAATAAATTAAATTTAAGCAAAATAATTTAAAGCAAAAATACAGCCCTGAAATAAACAAGATACACAGAAAACCCTAATATGTAATAAAGACTGACTTTTAATCAAATTATAAACTGAGGTAACATCATATGTCAGTGATTTGAATAAGAACAGCCCCCAGAGGCTCATATATTTTCATACTTGGTCCCCAGTTGATGGAACTGTTTGGGAAGGACTAGGAGGCATGGCCTTGTGGAGGAGGCGTGTCACTAGGGGTGCCCCAGCACCACGCCTGCCTACTGCCGAGCTCCCGCCATGATGGTCATGAACTCTACAACCTTGAGCCCCAGATTAAATGTTTTTCTTTTATAAATTGGTGTTTTTTTCACAGCAATGGAAAAGAACCAAGACACTGTCAGATTGAACTACATGAATTTTCTGATATTGACATACAAACTACAACTTGCTAGTCAAATGCCTCTGGGCACAGTATCTCAGTGCCAGGAGGGTGGGGCAGAAGAACTGAATTAGTCCAGGAGTTGAAGGCGAGCCCACACAATGCCAGGACGGTGGGGCAGAAGAATTGCATTAGTCTAGGAGTTCAAGGCGAGCCCACACAGTACAAGGCACCATTTCAAAACAATTTTTAAAGGCAAACTGCAGGGATGGGAAAGGCGGCTCCCTCGAGCACTGACTGCTCTTCTGCAGGGACCTCACAACCACGCGCAGCTCCACTTCCAGGAGATCTGCTCTCCTTTGCTGGACTCTGTGGGCAGCAGGCAAGAATACGGAGCATAGAAAGACATGCAGGCAAAACATGCATGCACATAAAACCAAATAAAAATAGAGCAAAAAACCTGAATATAAAATAGGATGCAGTCACGTGATAACCGGATATACTAATAACTACGTTAAGCTCCCGCGCTTACCTGCTCAATTTTAACGGCATCGACAATGATCTCCCTGACCCTTTCTTCTGAAGGCTTATTTACCAAGTACCGAAACATCAGGCAAGCAAAGTCACAGTGAAGCCCCTGAAACAGAGGACAAGCGCTGTTGTCAAAGAACGTCCATTAAAAACTTGCACAATTTGTCAACGTGCTGTGTGAAGTAGGAACAGGGAGTTTCCTCTCCCCTCCAAACTGCATCGAATGCCAAGGCCATAACTTATATAGCAACTTTTAACCATAGTAAATCTTTCTTTTTTAACATTTTATATTATTAACATTTTGTGATATTAATACTAATTTACAAACCAAGAAATTTGTAACAAAAACATTTTGGAAAGGAAACAATGTAAGATGCGACAACAATAAAAACCGATTTTTTTTTTTGGTTTTTCAAGACAGGGTTTCTTTGTAGCTTTGGAGCCTGTTCTGGACTCGGTCTTAAATCAGGTTGTCCTTGAACTCACAGAGGTCAGCCTGCTTCTACTTCCAGAGTACTGGGATTAAAGGCGTGCGCCACCATCGCCCCACTGAAAACTGATTAATTTTTAAATGTAAAAATTTTAAGGAATAATTGAGGAACAGTAATTAGTTACGGTGATAAATCATGGTTGCCAATTTGATGGGACTGAGAATCACCATAGAAACACATCTCTGAGACATCTGTGATTTTTCTGTATTAGGCTAATAAAATGGGAAGACCCACCCCTACTGTAGGTGGTACCATTCCCTACCGTTCCACAGACTGTGGTCCTGCACTGAATAAAAAGCAGGCAGTGAGTTGGACACCAGCACCCTGCACTCTCAGCTTCATAACCGGGGATGCTAGCGAACCTGGGATGCAGATGCGACAGGACCAGCTGGTGCTGCCTCTTTCTTCTCTGCTGCGATGGACCTAAGACCCTTGACCTATGACCCAAACAAGCCCGCCTACCCGCCCACCCTCCCTACCTTCCTTAGTTGCTTTTGGTCAGGGTTTTTCTCACATCAGGGAAAGCAGCTAACGCAGGAGCACTTACAGAGACTCCAGAAAGATAGTGTTTGCTGCAGTTAACAGCGCTAGAGAAAAGAGAACTTGGTGCGATGCAAATGGAAAAGCAGGGTGCACGCCACCTGAAGCCACAGGAAATAACTCAACCAGGAAAATAAACACAGGAACAGCCTTGAGCACAAAATGATCCTGCAGAACAATGACTACTCTAAAACCTGAAGTAGCTGCAGAACAGATGGAAGAGCGTTAGCCAGCACTCAGGACTCCAAATCAGAGCTGAAAATTCCCAAAAGACAGGAAATTTTCACAAATCCAAACCAGAAAGAGGAAACAAGGCCACGTACAGGAAAACAATAGATCTCCCAACAGTATTCATTTTTAAAACATAATTCCAACGTAGGATACATTAATGTTTTTAAACTACAAAGAAAGAAAGAAATTTGTAAGGGACCAAGGATGGGAGAGGAACGCTCCCTATAAGAAGTTACAATTCAGAATGACTTAGGTCTTGCTAAGTAACACCACAAAAGACCAGCCACTCAGAAAAGAACCTCACGTCAAAGACTGTATTTCAAAGAATACCACCTAATCATTCTCTGGTAAAACCATCTGAATAAACAAATAAACCCATACCCTTTGACAAGCTAATCATGGGATTGTACTAGTTATTTTTTCCCCACTGAGTTGACTCGGGACAATGCTTTTAGCAAAGGCAGCGTGAGAGATGCTAAACGCTGATTAGGACTGGCAGCTAGCTAATGACCGCAGAGACCAGTAAACCAACGGTAAGCACAGCTGTCAGGTCGATAAATGAATAACTTTGCAATTTAAAGCAACTCCAATCAAAATCCTGGTACTTTTTAATCCAAAAGCTACTCTGGAAGGATAAATGGGAATAACCTTAGAAGGACATTTTAAAATGAACATTTTGAGATGTGTTCTATCAATAGACGGCAGTGCCCACTGAAGCACAGGCTTGTAATCTCAGGTACTAGAGAAGTTGAGGCAAGAGAATCGAAGATCAAGGCCTGTCTGGGCTACAGAATGTGCTCAGTGTCAGTCTAGGCAACTTGGTAAGGCCGAGTCTCAAAAGGAAGAGGACCAGGAAATAGCTCAATGGTAGGGCGCTTGCTTTGCAAGGTGAAGGCCCTGATCTTGTTCCTCAGCACAGGATAAAACTGGTTTGACATCCCTGATTCTGGCCCTCAGGGGTCAAAGTCATCCTCTGCTAAATATTGAGCCTGAGACCAGCCTGAGAGACATGAGAACCCTGTCTTTAAAATCACCAGGGCTAGCAAGATGGTTCCATGGGTTAAGACTCTGCTGCCAAACCTGAAGATTTGAGTTCAGTCCCTGGAACCAACATGGCAGGGGTGACCCAGCTCCTACAATGTGGTATCCTCTGACTTCCACATGTGTGCCATGGCAGGTACCACCCAGGCAGGCAGACAGACAGATGGTCACACACAAATAAATACATGCAATACGTGTTTTTCAAATAAAAGGATCATTTGAGAAAATATTTAAAATAAATACAAAGAAATTGAAATTGCATATTATACTCATCCTATCTATCTATTTATCTATCACAAATTCAGTAAATAATGTTAAAAGAGGCCAATCAAACCAAGCATAGTGGTGTACTCTTTTAATCCCAACACTCACAAGGCACATGAATGCAGGCCTGGAACGCGGGAAAGAGTGTCTGGAGTCCAGAGAAGGCTGGAGGACATGTGAACATTTAGAATCCATGAAGACAAAGGAGACCAAGGCAAGAATCTACGACATTCATATTTAAGGATAGGTGGAGGCCAAGGAGGAACGGCGGCTGTGGAAGGAGCACAGAGTCTCGCAGGCCCAGGCAGAAGTGTGTTTCTATTTCCTTTTCACGATCTCCAGGGGAAAGAAACTAAAGGAGCATGGTAACCCAAGCCGGGGGAAGAACACGCCCTTCCTTACTTCATCCCTGCTGATGAGTTCATTCGAGAAAGTGAGTCCGGGCATGAGGCCTCTCTTCTTCAGCCAGAAGATAGCAGCAAATGACCCAGAGAAGAAAACGCCTTCCACGGCAGCAAAGGCCACCACTCTTTCCCCTACGAGACAAAACAGGTTCCATTTTCTAACTGAACGCTGAAGACATTCGCGAGTCTACAGGTGCAGGAGGCTTTTCACATCATTAAACTGCCTTCCTAAGAAATGAGCCAAACAAGACAGCGCTCTCCACGGAGGTCTTCAGGGCACAGATTGTCCACTCTGCCTGCTAAAGGAGAAAGACACGTCTGTTTCAAACCCTGCGGCAAGCATAGATTTGAGTAGGTGATTTTGTCTGCACAAAAAAATGGATTTTCAGGGGGCTGGAGAGATGGCTCAGTGGTTAAGAGCATTGCCTGGCGCCCTCTTCTGGCCTTCAGGCATACACACAGACAGAATATTGTATACATAATAATAAATAAATAAATAAATAGATAGATAGATAGATAGATAGATAGATAGAAAAAAAAAAATGGATTTTCATACACCAAATAAATAAAAAAAGAGGTGATTTTCCTGTAAAGAGCACACGCCTGTGAGTGCAGACACGTGTGTGAGCTCACTATGTGTACACAGGTGTGGATGCGAGAAAGGGAAGCACGAGATGAACCTTATGACAACCGTCTTCCTCTAATGGGAGGAGTGGTTGCTAAGGTTTATATTTTTGTTAGCGGCCCATTGTTGCTAAAAGATTAGCTGTGAGCATTTCAAAAACCTTGCAGAATAATTTTAAAAAATCAGCTGAAGGCAATGAATTCACCTCGAGGATAAAATGTTCTGTTAAAGACAGAAGAGCCAACTTAAAAGTTCATTCACTGAAGGCAAGGTCTCGGCAGAGACTCATTCCTAAATATCTTTAGTGACGTCACAAGGTCTCTACAGAGACTCATTCCTAAATATCTTTAGTGACGTCACAAGGTCTCTGCAGAGACTCACTCCCAAATATCTTTAGTGACATCACAAGGTCTCTATAGAGACTCACTCCCAAATATCTTTAGTGACATCACAAGGTCTCTAAAGAGACTCACTCCCAAATATCTTTAGTGACGTCACAAGGTCTCTGCAGAGACTCACTCCCAAATATCTTTAGTGACGTCACAGCTGTGACACTGTCTTTAGGGTATTTTAGATTATAACACACATACACACACACACACAATACAATTTTAAAATTTAAAACCATTCTATAGACATGTCTAATTTTTATGCTGAAATCCAGAATTTCTAATTTTCAGAACAAACATGTAAATCTCAAAAGGCAGGGTGACTGAAGTGTTCCCGGCTGTCTCGAGAGGAGCCTGCTTTGCCCTTGCTCTTTTCTTGCTTACCTCACGCCAAACAGATCAACCACAGCAAAGAGACAGGAACCTACACTGTCTGTTAATAACTTACAACATGAGAAAACTTCTGGTTTATCTTTATGAATGCCATTTAAAAAGTTGCCTTGAAAAACATGAAGAAATATTAATAAATAAGTGCTGACTGAGTACTGTCAAAAGAATTATAGAAAACTTTCATGTGAATATAATAAATATTACAATATGAAATTAACCACTGCTTCATCTCATCCTTAACTGAATATTAGTTTATGATACTTTTTTCCTGCAACTAATTATTTAGCAGGCTATAATAACTGGCGTTTTGAAGTACTAAAGTCATGCCGTCTGGACAGTTATCTGTCAGAGAACTGGACTAAAGCTGGACATAGAGGAGAGCTGTCTCAACCATTCCATGCATCTGGGCGAATGCTGAAGAGAACGCCATAAGGAACAGCTACAGAAGGCTGCTTCAGAGAGAATGAAAAGACTCTGACGAGGGGCTGGGGAAACAGCATGATTGGGATTTGAATGCCCGGCATCCATGTAAAAAGCCAGGAGTGGCAGGCACACATGTAATCCTAGATCAGAAATGGATACAAGAGGACAATGGCACAGCTACCGGCTAAAGTGCCCATGCTCTCCCAAGCAAATTCCCCCTCAGATTTCTATAAACAATCCCAATGAAACTCATTGGGGCTCTCTCTCTCTCTCCCTGTCTCACACACATACACACCACACATACACACCACACACACACATACACACACACACATACACACACAAAAGGAAAGAAGGAGGGAGGGAAAGGAAGGAAGGAAGGAAGGAAGGAAGGAAGGAAGGAAGGAAGGAAGGAAGGAAGGAAGGAAAGGAATGGTTCTACAGGCATATGACACACGTGTGCTTGTACACACACACACACATGAACACATACTCACACACAAAGATTGTAAGAGATACATTTTATAAACTTTTAAGATATATGTGAAATAGAGACAAGCAGACACTCATTCTGAAAACTGCAGTGGAGGCAGAAGCCTCATGGTGTGTTTGGAGGGAAAGTGGGATGTACTTTTTACATACGACGGAGTCCACAGTGCAGGACACTGAATGCATAAATCCTACTTTTTGAGGTTACAAATGTAATTTCAAAACAAATACTAAAAGTTAATATATCTGTCAATCTTAAACTGGACAGTATGTTTTAATTTTAAAAAGCTCAGATAAATAATTAGAAATTCTTAGCTTTATAGGAACTGAATCTTCTTACAGCATAACACATAAACTTTAAAACAAAGGGATATTTTTAAAGGATTGTGTTTAAGTTTTTCTTTGGCTAAAAATGATAGACTGTGAGATTTTAGAAGCAGGGAAAAAACAGCTGCCCTCCTTGTTCTTGCTTGGGGTAGCAGCTGCCAAGAAGTCTCCACAATGGTTGGGCAAAGTCCTGCATAAGGAAGAGCTGCCTTTCAATGTGTTAGGATGCAGGTGGCCCTCAGAACTGCAAGTCCTCTGCTGGCTACGGAAATAGGAAGTGTGCTGCACAGCAAACCATCCCCAGAACAGCATATCCTCTGCTGGCTACAGAAACAGGAAGTGTGCCACACAGCAAACCATCCCCAGAACAGCATATCCTCTGCTGGCTACAGAAACAGGAAGTGTGCCACACAGCAAACCATCCCCAGAACAGCATATCCTCTGCTGGCTACAGAAACAGGAAGTGTGCCACACAGCAAACCATCCCCAGAACAGCATATCCTCTGCTGGCTACAGAAACAGGAAGTGTGCCACACAGCAAACCATCCCCAGAACAGCATATCCTCTGCTGGCTACAGAAACAGGAAGTGTGCCACACAGCAAACCATCCCCAGAACAGCATATCCTCTGCTGGCTACAGAAACAGGAAGTGTGCCACACAGCAAACCATCCCCAGAACAGCATATCCTCTGCTGGCTACAGAAACAGGAAGTGTGCCACACAGCAAACCATCCCCAGAACAGCATATCCTCTGCTGGCTACAGAAACAGGAAGTGTGCCACACAGCAAACCATCCCCAGAACAGCATATCCTCTGCTGGCTACAGAAACAGGAAGTGTGCCACACAGCAAACCATCCCCATTGCTGCTGACTTCTAGTGCACTCCCCAAAAAGGAGAGCTACCAATTGCCAGCCAACCTCTCCCTATCCCTCCACAGTTCACACATGTATGTATCATGGCACACGCATGCCTCTGTCCCTCTACACAAAAGTTAATGTAAAAGTATTGTAAGGCTAGGCCGAGTGACACATGCTTGTCCCCATGCTCAGAAGACTGAGGAGGAGAGCAGGTGAGTTAGAGGCCATCCATTCTGAGCTACACACATCCTGAGACTCTGTCTCATTAAAAAAATAAATAAATAAAAAATAAAAAGTTGGGGGTGGTGGTTTCAGCTTATCCAGAAATATGTCTGCACTTAACTTACCAGTGAAAGCTAAGCTTGGTACTGCAAACTGTTTCTTGTCCTGGTTGACTATACCAATCCTGCATTTCAGAAACTAGATCTTTGTTTCCAAGACTGGTAGGACTTGACTTGCTTTATCCCTGGCGCGCTTTAAACCGGCACAAACCGGCGGTGACTGCAATTCTCTTGATTGGGTTTCCCTGACTTTTTAACTCCCCAGTGTGCCTGCTGAGATCCTGCCTTCCCGGGTTCTACTGTTCTAGGCACAAGAAGTAGCTTACTTCACACCAGTTCCTAGAGAGTCCAGTGCGCTGAAGCACTAAAGCCCCCCACACTCCGCTCTCATGCTAACTGACCCAGGTAATGCTACTCACCGAACGTCGACTTTCTGTCGGCTATCCAGCGCAGAGCCCAGTCGGCCTTCTTCTTAACATACGGCATTGTTTCAATTGCATTAAACAAAAATTCCCTATAGAAACAAAAGCCATCAAGGAAAAATTATTGTTTGTTACCTGGACTAAGGTTTAATAATCAGAGACAGTGGCTGTGACTCTCACAGTGCACTACCAAATCGAGTTTGTCCATATTTTACATGTTAATAGTTATGAATACAGAAATAAAAGCAAAACTCAGATTAGTGGCTTGGATATAAATGGATCTAAAAAAGCATTGAAATGCAGATATTCAATTTATAAATACAAGGATCTAAAATGGTATTCATTATCTATCTGGTTCCATGCCAGGTCTTTAAAACAGTATTGAGCAAGAGAAAACTACACTCACAATCTTCCATGCATGAATAATATTTAATACTGTAGTTTTGGAATAAATTCTACTTTCAATGTAAGCAAAAAGCTAAACCTTCATAAATAACTATCTCCCCACACACACACACACGGTAATACCTTTTCTTTGGATCCCGGATGTAAGTGTCTATTAGTAAACTGTACATCTCTGAGTGGACGTTCTCAATGAGAATTTGAAAGCCATAGAAACAGCGAGCCTCTGGAACCTGCACCTCTTGACTGAACCGTTCCACCTACAGAAACACGGGCAACAGAGAGATCCGGTGAGCGGGCTATCACAAAACGCTGGTCACACACTACAAGCATAACACGACATCAGAACTCTCATTTTAAAATCTTCTGTCTTTTTTGGAAGTCAGGAAGTTGGACAGGAGGATACTGATCTCAAGACCAACCTTGGAAACATGATCTAACTCATCTTGAGATCAATTAGAAGGCTCAGGAGGTAAAGTTGCTGCCAAACCTAATGACCTGCAACCTCATGGTGGAAGGACCAGCTCCCCCATGTCCTCTGACTTACACACACACACACACACACACACACACACACACGTAAGTAAAATTTAATACAATATATAATATATTGTGGAAAAAGATGTCTGTTATACAACAAATAGGACACAGAAGACTTATCAATGTTTTTCTTTCTTTTGTCTTTTCTCGTTGTTTCATGGTTCTGAGGCTCAAACCCAGCAGCGTCTTACGCAGTGCTGTAGTGTTTACCTATGCTAGGCAGGTGCCCACTGAGCCCATGCCCACAACTCCATGATCTCTGCTCCTGAGCAATGGGACAGATTGACCTTCTAGATGGAAACACTGCCTATTGAATAGTAAATTTTAAAACATTATCAAAAACAGTAATTGGGGGGGGGGGCTGGAGAGATGGCTCAGTGGTTAAGAGCATTGCCTGCTCTTCCAAAGGTCCTGAGTTCAATTCCCGGCAACCACATGGTGGCTCACAACATCTGTAATGAGGTCTGGTGCCCTCTTCTGGCCTGCAGACATACACACAGACAGAATATT